GACTTCTTGAATGTGTTTTTACCAATTCGATCAGACAGATTCTTCCTCACGCTAGTGTTCCGATACCTGGATCTGATGATCCATTCATGGTCATCAATCCATGAATCTCCAATTGATTTCAAAGCGTTATAGAATTGATCAAGCAACTGTTGCAAAAAGTTTTGATCAGATAAAAAAAAAAAAATCAAGCTTAAACTTCACTAAGTCTTCTAAACAAATAATTTTAGTTATGAGATGGATTTGGATAAACCTTGTCGACATCTGCACGTCTTATATTAAGGATTTGAGAGCTATCAACGATCTCAGGACAAAGCTTGTGAAGATCTTTCATCGTACGAGACACCATCTACCGATAGCCAGAAAACAGACAATAACGCGACAAATCAATCGTATGTAACGTAAGAAACAAACCAAGTTATGTGGTTTTCGTCAAAATTGAGAACCGATTTTCACTAGATTGACTACTACAAAAACTCACATAGAATAAAAATTAAACACTTTTTTGGTAATTGTTACTACCATCTATACCTAGTTATAACTTCTTCACATTCATTCTTTTATGTTTAGTTTCATCTTCTTGTTAACGAAAAACTCATATTTCATCCCAAAAAACAAAAACAAAATCTCACGGTGGTTGTAGATTTTGTGACTAGTCCATGACTCTGAATTTTTAGGTTAAAAAAAATACGATCTTTGTTATTTGTTAGGGACGAATATGTAAATATCTAGTTGTATCTTCTTATATTTTTCGATTATTTCCTTTTCGTAGCTAATCATAGATGTGTAGCATATTCTATAAGATATCATTAGGCTCCATATATTGGATATAGGAAGATACAACTAAATATTTACATATTAAGTCCCTAATGAATTATCCCACAAAAGGCATGGCAAAAAACGTAAACTTACATTGGTAATGGAAAGATAATCGGTAAGAGGAGGAAGATCAATGATGCCTCTAAAAGTGATAATCTTCCTTCGAAGCTCGACCATGAGAATGAAATTCCCTGTCGATTTGCTGGAGTCGCAGCTCGAACTCGAGATCTTTGCTACTTCTCTATGAGCATTCTTTATTTCTTTAGCCGATGAAGCAACACGCCTTGACGTTCTTTGGCTCACGAATGGAGATCTAGACTCCTTGACCGATGATGATGGAGAAACCAAAGAAGGTTTAACATCTTGTTTGGTCTTACTACTTCTCAGTGATGCTTGCCTTTTTACAGGCTATAACAAAAGTTCATAATAACAAACAACAAATGTAAGAAACCAATAAACAAAGTTTTCAATACCAAACAACAAGCGAAAAAGTTACCTCAACTTTAGAGGTTCTCACACTCATCACGGAGAAAACGAGAGAATTATGAAGTGTTGGTGTTACTTGTAATGATTACAAAGTAGATAGACTTGAGGAGTGTAAGAGATAAAACATGTGAAGCTCTTAAGAGTGTTTATTAACACTAACGCTCCACATATATCGAATCTATCACTTATCTAATTACGATACGTGGCATCTTCGAATTGGCTGTTAAACATTTTTATCCCGAAGTAAGAAGTTTCAAGCAGAAATGGAATTATTATTTTATTTTTGAAAGATCCTAAAAGAAGAAGAATTGAGTTTAGTATAATACGTAAGAAAGGAAATCTATAAAAGACAATTGTCATTTTTTCTTTTTTCTTTCTGTCAATTAGAAAGTTATTTTTGTTTTTAATTAATTTTTAACTACGACAGTGACAGCAAAAAAATTACCATAAAAATTTATCAATCAAAGATAATACGAAAGAAGCCACAATAGCGTGAAGCAAACTCGCACTCCGTTCATGCGGTCTATCTTGTATTTTTGTTTATCAAAGATCCTCTTATATTATTTTTTATTATTTGTAATAGTTGTATACTAAAAGCATTATTAATGGTAAACCTATTAAAAAATTTTAAAATTTTTTTATTATTAAATTTAATGAAAAACAGTTTTGACATTCCAAAATCAGTTTCATTGAGTTCCTCCTATAGAACTTTTCTATGGGAAATTCATTTAACTAAATAATTTTTTAATCATTTTTATGGGGAGACATTTTTAAAGGGTATGTGCGTTAATGATGTTCTTAGGCGTTGTCAACTTACCATTAGGCTAAATTCTTTTTAAATTTTTTTATTTGTTTTCCAGCATGCTCTAATGTATTTATTATTTTGTTTCGACTTGAAATCAAAGTGTGGTATAAGGAAAAGAATCAAAGTGTAACGCTTTCTTAATTTCACAATGTAAAACTCTC